GCCCCCCCCCCCCCCCAGCCGCAGCATCTCCTGAGGATCCACCAGCTTCTCACGGGGCTTCCCAGGGCCCTGGCCTCGGGCCACTTCCTCAGCATCCAGCTTCTCCCAGTCAGAGAAGGAGACCGGCCGGACCCCTGGGCCAGAGGGGACAGGAGTCACTGCCTCCTCCTCCACCGCCCAGAGTAACCCATCCCCAGCCCCCACTCTGCTCCAAAGAGGGGCCGCCACCCCACCTCCCAACTTCAGCCCAGGCCAACCTCGGCTGCTGAGCAGGGCCTGGACAGCGGTGTAGCCAGGCCTGGGGCCCGAGGGCAGCAGGCCGGCCTTCAGGTCCTGCAGCAGCATCTGGCCAGTGAGGAAGCTGTCGGCCATGGTGGTGGTGATGACGCCCGTAGGTCCCCTCTTCACCCAGCCACTGCAGTATAGGCCTGAGGGGGATCGCAGAGGGGTGAGGAGGAGGTGGCTAGACCTGGCCTGGCACCTGTACCCCCAGTTTATTTTTTATTTATTTATTTACTTTTTAGTTTTTTGCTATAGGGCGTATATACTCACCAGATACACAGAGAGAAGTAGAGAGAGAGGGGAGAAGTGAGAAATCACACCCCAGAAATGACCACACAGCGATTCCTTCTATTCTCATCTAGGGGTTTTAGGCATGCACGCACATGTGCCCAGCTTGATTCTCAATCTGCTGGGTCTGGGACTTGAACCACGGAGTCAGCCACGTGGGATCCAGCCACCTTAACTCCGTGCCACCTGCTGGGGCAGCACCCCAGTTTATACACATCACACACACGCCGGTCCCGGCAGGCTCTGTGGTTGAGCCTCCACCACCGGCCCATCACCCTGCAATCTCAGCCTGCTTTCACCACGCCAACCCCCTTTAGCCTGTTTCCCTGCAGAGAGGAGCTCCCTGGGTGGGAGCTGGGCTTGCCCTCGTCCAGGCCCTAGGAAATGTTTCCTGAATGAATGAAACACCAGCCAGGCACTGGGTCATCAGACTGGAAGCTCCCTGTGGACGCAGACTGCCTCGTGACTCTCCAGTCTGAACCCCGAGCTGAGCCCCGGGCAGACCTCAGTAAACATGTATCGAATGACTCAATGACCAGACGGATGGCCCATATGTCGCAGCTAGACTGGGGACTTCTAGAGCCAGAGGAGGGTGGGATGGGTCCCGGGGCAGGGCCTGCCTCAGAGCAACGTCTCAGCGCATGTCACATGAATGGCCCGGGGACACCGGTCTCCCAGCAGCCTTCTGGCACCCCCTCACCTGGCACGTCCACAACCCGGCCCTCCACATTGGGTATGACCCCACGTTTGGAGTCAAAGGGCACACTAGGGTCGATGGGGCGGCTCTTATATCCGACGCTGCTCAGCACTAGCCCACAAGGGAGGTCCTCCGTGTCTCCCGTGGGCACTGCCCGCGTGGCTTCACCGACGCCCTGTTGAGGAGAGTGTGGGCAACAGGGGTTGGGGTGGGGGTGGTCTGATAGCAGGTATCTTGGGGTAACATGAGACTCACCTCAAGTCTTGTGACGGCCAGGCGGATGCCCACTGCCCGCCGCCCATCTGGGGAGGATAGCACCTGCTGGGGGCTTCGGCAGAAGCGGAGGCCCCAGGCCCTAGAGGCCTGCGCCTGGCGAGCGGCCTCCTCCAGTCCTGGCTTCTCCGTGG